GGAGGAGGAGGAGGAGGAGGAGGAGGAGGAGGGGGAGGAGATTGTGAATTACTTCATCCTGGATTCCCTCTACCAATTAGGTCCCTATGATTGTGGAATGTGGGTTTCCCAGTGAAGACTGATTCTTCCCTCTGGGTGAGAGCCAGAGGAGGGGATTGGTGGGGTTGGGGTGAATGGAAATTGAGTCCTTGACCAGTTGGTGAGAGTGGCAGAAGAGGCATCCCTGGGTGTGGGGAGAGTGGGCAGGTGGTTGCTGAGTAGCCTGATGGCACTGAGAGCTAGTGAAGCTAAAGTGCCTCAGGGTGCCTGGCTTCCCCTCCTTGGGATGGATGAAGTTGAGGACAGTGGGAGGTCCCCAGCCTCGGGAATTGGAGGGCCTGGATTGGGAGCTGCCTTTGCAGGGGATGGGGCAGGCCAAAGTATTATGGTCGTGATGGGCATGGGGAAATATGGTGGGAGAAAGGGAGCAGGCCATTCTTGGGGAATGCGGGACTGAAGTCTTATACCAGTTTTGCATTCCAGCTCCTTGGTCTCAACCCCTGTACAGTCAGCAGACCTTCAGAGGCCCTGGCTTTTGGCTTTTGCTTCTAAATGCAAGGTCAGTTTGTAAGAAGGCCTCCCTCATCTGAGATTTAATTGTAGATGAGAGGGCCAACCTGGTATATATCACTAAGACCTGGCTGGGTCTAAAAGCGGAAGGTGGGTGGTGGCCCTTTCAGAGATATGCCAGCTGAGGTTTGGGTGGGTCATCAGCCAAGATCCAGGGCAGGTATGGAGTTGTGATAATTGTCATTGAGGAATCGTTTGGAGCCTTCAGGGGCACTGTACCACAGTCACTGGTTGTGAGACCTTGTTAACTGGGCTCTTGGGATTAGTTGGGATTGTTGCTGATGTACCAGCCTTCCTGTTGCATAGCAACTTCCCTGCCTGACTTCCTTGACTCCATTTCTGGGTTAATTTTGCTAAAACTTATGGTTGCAAATGAATGTATATCTCTCTTCCTCTATCTCTATCTCATACATTTCTGAGGCAGCAATAGAGTTCCCCAGACCTATGATCTTGGGGGACCACAATGTGCCTTCTCTAGGAATGGGAATTGAGGTAGCTCAGGAGTTCATGTCCACCATGATGGCCATGGACCTATACCAGATCATCCAGAGCCTAACATGGGACAGTGGTCAAACACTGGTTCTGGTGTTCCTGTCAGAGCAGTGGCTATGTGATCTGAAATTGGGGGAGATCTTGGTGTCTCCCTTGTCATGATCAGATCACCTTCTGATTACCACAGGATTCTCTAGTGCCACTATCCATAGCAGGGAAGCTATACCCATTAGATCAGTCCACTCCAGTGACTGAAGAACTTGGATGGGTTTTCAGATGGTGCTAAGGGCTGTTCCAGCTGGTTTGCTGCATGGTCCACCTTAAGCTTTGGTTGCTGCTTGGAATAGGAGAGCAGCTGAGGCACTGGATTAGATCGTGCCTATGTGACCTCTCCCCTCTTATGGATCCATCATGGTTCACAGAAGAGTTAAGGGACACAAAATGAGAGAAGAGGCAACTAGAATGTCACTCGCATTCAATAAGGATGAACTCAACCAGAAATGGGTTAGGAACACTATTAAGGCCTACCTTGTGGCAGTAAGGGCAGTGAAGCATCAGTACTTCCCTTATTGCATCTACTGATACCTATCATGCGGCCCTTTTTCAGGTGACACATGCCTTCATGAGTAGAAGGAGCACGAAGAACCCCTTGTTGGAGTGTGCTGAAGAATTCACCTGAATCCATTCACAGTTGGACACAGGCCTTGTTGCAGGTCTGGAGCAGTAGCCTGGGGAGGAATCTTGCCCAGTTATCTATGAATGGTTTGAACTTGTTGGGCCTGAGGAAGTCAGCAGGGTTCTTAGGACTGTGAGACCAGCCATCTTCTTTTTAGATCTATTCCCCTCCTAGCTTATTAAAGCAGCCTGGGGGAGTTATGTGAGTGGTTCTAGCGATGGTGAATTCTTCTTTGAGTAAGTGGGTTGTTCCTTGTCCTCTAAAGATGCCCTTAGTTCACTCTCTCCTCAAGAAGCCATCACTGGACCCCACTATACTGGACAATTTTTGTCCAGTATCTAACCTCCCCTTTTTGTTGAAGGTGATTGAAAAGGTGGTTGACCAACAGCTTCAGAGGACCTTGGATGAAGCAGATTATCTGGAACCCTTTCAATCAGGATTCTGCTCCAACAGACCCAGTGGGCAATCTAGGGCTCCTCCTAAACTCATGACTCCTGCTCAAAGAGCAGGTGACAGTCGTGGCCAGGACGGTTTTTGCAGAACTTCGTATTATGCATCAGTTGCACCTGTTCCTAGATCAGGAGGTTCTGCTCACAATCACTCATGCTGTAGTCACCTCTCGATTAGACCACTGTAACACTCTCTACATGGGGCTGCCCATCAAGAATATGAAGAAATTTCACCTGCTGCAAAGTGCAGCGGCACAGGCAGTTATAGTATGTGTGTCTCTTAGAACAAAACACATTGCATCTCTGCTCCATGAGCTGCATTGGTTACCAGTCTGTTTCTGGGTTGAATTCAAGATGCTGTTTTTGACCTTTAAAGCCCTATATGGCATGAGACCGGGACTGCCTCTCCCTGATTATATCTGCCCATCCCATCATATCCAGTAGAGAGGCATGCTATGGTACCCATTGGCTAGGCAGTTAATTCAGTGGGTCCCAGGAAGTGGTCCTTCTCTGACATGGTGCCTCCTTTATGGAATATCCTCTGCTCTGAAGTGGGGAAGGTGCCATCCTTATTGAGTTTCTGGAAGTCCCTTAAAACTTCATGATGCCTCAGGCCTGGGGACCACAGGAGACCAGTGAGATGTGGTGGCGGCTCCATTGTTATTAGTATCTGCTGTTCTCTCATAGCCTTGTGGGTGTTTTAAATTATTATTTTTTTAATAATAATTGTCTTTATATAAACTTTTTAATCATCTTATTGTATACCACCCAGAGTCACTTTTTTATGAGATGGGCAGCCAAATACATAGATACATACATATAAGTGGGAAGGGACTAAGGCATGAGTGACAATGGGCAATTGGTGCCACAGCTGCCACCTGCTCATCAAGCAGGAGTCATGAGTCCAGAAGGACTCCTAAATTGCACATTAGCTGAGTCTGGGGAAGTGCAACCCCTTCCAAAATCAAAGATGACAAGTCACCAGATTCGGGAGGGAGGGGGAGGAAAAAAAAGAAGAAGAGCGACTCCATCTTGCCAGGGTTGGGCCAAAGTCAGTTCATCCCCATCCAGACCCTCATAGCCTCCAGGCACTTGGCCAGCACTGCAACAGCATCACCTGCCCAGCCAGGGGTAGAGATGTATAGCTGTGAATCACCAGTGTACTGATGATACTGTACCCCATGCTGACGAAAGCTCTCACCAACTGGTTTCATGTAGATGTTCAAGAGGAGAGGTGAGAGACCAGAGGCCGAGGCACCCCACACTGCAGAGGCTTAGGGCTCAACCTCTCCTGGCCAACAACACTGAGTGGAAATGTCCACAGAGGAAGAAGGAGAACCACCACAAAATGGGAACTCCCACTTTGAAACCCCAGACCCAGTTCAGAAGGATACCATGGTCAAAGGTATTGAAAGGTGCTGAGATCCAGGAGATCCAGGACAGTTGCACCACCCCTGTCCTGAGTCCTCCAAAAGCCATTGGCAAGTGTGACCAATGCCATCTCAGTGCAACACTCTGGCCTGAACTCAGACTAAAAAAAGTCCAGATGATTGGCTTCAGGCCAACCACCTTCTCAATAAACTTCCCCAAAATGGGAATGTTGGAGATTGGATGAAAGTTGTCTAACACAACTGTGTGCAAGGATGGACCCTTGAGAAGGGGGTGCACCACTGCTTTCTTCAAGGTAGGCAGTACCACCCCCTCCTGCAAAGAGGCAGTAACTACTTCATGGTTGTTTCCTGATTGTTTCATGGGTTGTTTCATGGGAGCCCATGGGATGTTTCAGTTTTGAAATGTCTTGATTGTGAGATTTGCAAATCCTTAAAGTTGAGATAGCTGAATTAAAAAGAAAACATATCATAGTTCACACATCTGTGTTATGCTTACACATCTTTTGGCAGACTGAAAATCAATCAAATTAGTGATATAAGTTTTGGCCTATGCAGAACCTGTTTATGGTGAAATCCAGAAAAAAATATCCTGTATTTAAGTGACCTTATTCTTTTGTACAGCTTCTTAAGAAATCCAGTTAAATAATTATTTTTAATTAGATGGGTAAAATAAATGGACAAAGAGCTGCAATCACCAAGAAACTCTGCTTCTTGGCAGCTGTTATAAAAGGATATGGAGATTTTTTGTTTTCCTTCTCCCCACAAGTATTTTCTGCTGTCCCTTTTGTCCCTTCTGGCAATGACAAAACAGGAAGGAAAAATAGCCAAATTGGAGGAGGTTGGAAGTTCTTTAATTAGGTAATCCTGGAGCAGGAATTAAAATAATTTTGTCACTGATTCTTGTAGAAGAGGAATTGGCCAGAGGGTTGACTTCTTCCTTCTTTGTCACCTGAAAAACAAACTGCAGAAAGTCATTTTTTGTAATTTTGGTTGGAAGTACAGAAAACAAAGGTTATTGCAGACAGGTTATAGACTAAGAGGAACTAGTCTCTTTTACATTTACTCAAGCACCCTCAGGTGTTCAAAACAATTCACCTAACATCTGATTCGATTATCTCCAAGGGACATTTTGTTATCACAGGTTTTAGAGAAAGGGTGATGGAGTATGTTATGGATCCATTTAGCTTAACTGTTTAAAAATCAGCATTACTTTATTTATTCATTATAGATGCACATATCATTCATCCCAATTTCACTAGATTACTTGCAAAAAGATACAAATCTATAAAATTCTAAAACCTTACAAAAAGAATAACATTAACAGAACCAAAACTTCAAAACCTCTAAATAACTTTGTCACCTGAATTGAGCTAACCCAAATGAACAAGCCTCCCACAGTTTAGTTATCAAAGAACTAAATACACAACTGTCACCCAGCCCAAAGTTTCAACAATGAACAGTTTGAACTGTTCATACATCTATACCTTCCTGTCCTGCCACTTTTATCTTGAGTTGAGATCCTGATGCCCAGTTGAAGATCAGTGTAAAGGAGAGGTCTTACATGGTGCTTTCATACAAAAACCTTGTGCATCATAAAAATTGTTTAGGACCCTTAAAGTGTGGCTATAAGTCCACATTTCTAGCCATGATTCATCCCCGAAGGCAAATTCTTTCAAGATACATTCTTTGGGAAACAACAACATTCATTAAATTATGAGAAAAGAAACATGGAAAGTCATTCAATAGCTCTTTATTGATCAACAAATGACGAAGAATATGTCTTTACAGTATTTGCAGTAAATTAAAAATTGCACATAGAAATGTCCAGTTAATCCTTCTGTCTGCAAATCTATCTATAATCAAATTATATGGATTATGACTAGAAACACTATCAAGATAGCAACAGGAACTGAAAAACAGCTGCATGATGAATATATATAATACATTTGCTAAGATTGTTTTCAGTGACAACCATGGGGAGATGATGGGTTTTCTAAACAAGAAACATTACGTATTCCTAAATTCTGGTATGAAATGATAGATCCCAACTTCCCGGATAAATGGACTGATCATAACATGATGCAGAATATATGGGATCTTCTATTTGTTTTAATCCTGCAATTCAATTCTTATATTACTACATACAATGTTAAAAATATATATTGTTTCGGAAAATACATTTAAATTACATGTTTGAAGGTGAGAGAGAGAGAGAGAGAGAGAGAGAGAGAGATGCATACTGTAAGAGGAAACACATTTCAATAAAAATACATTTCAGTGGATATTTTCATCCTGATTCTAAAAAAAAAAAAAAAAAAAGATCAGATGGATATTAGAGCAGGACTACCTTGCTTTGCTTGAATTATCCCAAACTATAACTGCAGGGCTCAATGAGAAATCCACATACCCTCATATCAGAGCAGATGTTGTTGTTGGAGTTTTAAAGATATTAGGTCAAGAAGTGTGAATATTATTTCATGAGGAAAGAATGGTCCTAAACTTTCCAAATAGTTTCTCCACACCAGATCTGATCTCTTTGTTTTTCAGGCTGTATATGATCGGGTTTAACATTGGAGTTAAAATGCTATACTGAATAGAGATGACTTTGTCCAGATCCATGAGTGATTCTGAACTTGGCTTCATATAGCGAACAAAAGCTGTAATGTAAAATAAGCCCACCACAATGAGATGAGAGCTGCATGTAGAAAAAGCTTTCTGTCTGCCTTCTGCTGATTTAATTTTCAGGATGGTTAAAATGATGTGAATGTAAGAGACCAGAGTGAAAAGAAATGAGTTAACGCCCAATGCCAACACAAATATTAGAAGAACAATGTAGCTAGTGAGAGTCCCTGCACAAGACAAGGCCAAGAGTGAAGGAAGCTCACAATTATAGTGTCTGATGATATTGTTGCTGCAAAAATGGAGATTTAGCAAAGGCAGGACATTCCCTGTACCACACAAGAAACCCACGAGCCAAGCTCCAGCCATTATTTTATTGCATATCTCTTTCGTTAAATACCTGCTATAATGGAGTGGATCACATATAGCCGCATATCGATCATAACCCATTGCTGAGAGGATGAACACTTCTGCACAAGACGTTTGTAGAAAAAAGAAAATCTGTGCAATACATCCTTCCCAGGAAATGGTTTTTTGCTTTGTTACAAAG